ATTTAAATGCATATTATGAAATGAAAGAAGAAAATATTTTTTAAAAGCTACAAACTAAATGATCGCAAGCATATGATACTCTGAAAAAGGCTAGATTATGAAGATAGTACAAATATCAGTGGTACTGCTTGGGGAAAGGGATGAATGGTAGAACACAAGTTTTAGGGCAGTAAAACTCCCCTGTGTGATACTATAGTGATGGCTACACATCATTATATATTCATCCAAACTCACAAAATGTACACTCCATGCGTGAAGCCTAATACAAACTCTTGACTTTCACCATAATTCACTGTGAAGCAAATTTTTATTTTTAAGAAGATATTGATAAAATTCCAAGTAGTTTTGTTTAAAAGACTTGTTGAGGTAGTTTGAAATAGTCAATACCAAATAAATAAAAAGTACTGTCACTCAAGAATTATGGTTTCTATGTCCTTACAAATAGGAAGCAGTATGTTAAAATGCAGAGGTCTCTAACAAAATGCTCACAGGTGTTTTACATAGATAAATAATGGTGGGTGATATTTCATAATGACCTTTTAAAGCTGTATTCTTTCTGCAAGGTCACTTTATATATTAAACATGTAATGTTATCCTTACTTTCAAGGGAAACATATTCTCTCCCAGTTTTCAGTTAAAATGCCAGACTCCCATCACAATGATTTTTTTGCCCCATTTTTGAAGCATGAGCACAAGTAACATTTTACTTCCCTCTTAACTTTGCAAGACATGGACAGACTTTGTTTGAGAAACATGAAGGGAGGTAGACTATTGTAAACTGGAGAATGAATGCATCAACTAAAGTGGACAGTGCTGGCTAATTGATTCTATTCAGAAAGATAAAAGTCTTCATAAAATCATGCCTGATTTTTCAATGCCAAGTAATAATACCATAATTTATAGACAGTTTCCCTACATTTAAACATGAGCAACTAGTCTGAAAATTGGTAAACACTATGGGTCAAATTAAGCCTTTACTGTTGATTTTCATTCTCTGAAATACATTTTATCATAGACTGTGGGATTCTGAGTCAGAATATGTAGTCCTAATCCTGCAGCAATACTACAGAATAAAAACTTGAGCAAGCAGTCTCCTTTCACTAATCTAAGAAAGTATCTCAATAAATTCTTCATCAAATTGTTGATGTTTCTCAAGAATACATTATAATTTTTTTCTAAATAAAATTTAAAGAACTTAATAATAAATAGCCGTTACTCACCACCTGGATTCCACTTTTAACATTTTGCTGTATTTACATTATGTTGAATTTATCAGCTCATGAACCCTTGTTCCTTTTTGGATCAGTTTCAAAGTACTTACAACCATCAGGATACATCCTTCATCATCATATTGCTTCTAGAAGAAATGTGTGATGCACATAAAGTATCAAACACTGTATCTAGCACATAAGCTTTACAGTACTCCATGCACATTTACTGTGTAAAGTGTGAATGCTGTTGGGCCCACTAAATATATTTGGGACAGCCAAAAATTTCTGTAATTAATTTGTTGTCAAAATCCACTTAATCCCTCCCTTCAAAATGTATCCAGAACTGGAATTCTGGTTCCAGCAATAGAGAAACCAATAGGCAAAGACAAAAAAAAAAAAAAAAAAGAAGACTGCAAAAAGAGGAGGCTGCTAGAACAGGGAAGCCTTTGACAATAGCAGCAGATTCCAATGAAGCCACCACAGGAAGAGCTGAGCCTTCATCTGTGGGGGCCAGTGGGCTGTGCAGCTCTTCCTTCTGACTCCCCCAAGGGTGGTAGGAATGGCAGTTAGGGGGTGACCGTTTGTTTTCTCCATGGTTGAGTTTGTGCTGGGCCCAGTGGGACCTGAACTTCCACCCTCATCCATCAGGACAGGTGGTATGTGGTGGTGTAGCTGACACTCCACTTCCCAGGTCGCTAAATGTGTGCCTCTGCCTCACAATGACACGCTGAAGTGAGGCAGAGCTGGTTAGCATTCCATTCCCCACTCTTAGTGTTACAGGAGCTAGTGATGTATAAATGTCTATCCCCAGTTCACAGCAGTGAGGCAAAAGGAGAAAGAGGGAAACTCTGTCTGCCCGAACAGTATGAGCAGGGTCAAGTGGGATCCAGTATTTGAGGCAAAAAACAAGGTGGCTTGGGTGCTTTAGTTAGCACCCTGCTTTCTCTCCCCTAGTGCTATCGCTAGGCCTCATGGGGAGAGTAGTTTTTTTTCTTTGTCTTTGAGCTGGGACATCGGTCACCTGCCTTCAGATTCAATTATGGACTGGAACTTAGACCAGTGTGCCACCTGGATCTCAGGCCTGGCTCTCAGACTAGCAAAGTTCCTAGACCTGCAGCTTTCTATGATCCCAGGCCATCTGTAATAGTGTGGGCCTACTTCTTATAAATAATACATTTATAAATACCTACATATATGTCCTATGTGTACTATAAATACTATCAGTTCTATTTCTCTGAAATACCCTGCCTAAAGATAGTCCTATAATCACAAGAAACTGAATTCTACCCATAACCTCAATGAACTTGGGAGCTGCTTTTTCCCAGACCTTCCCAATAATGTCCAGCCTGCTCATACATTGATTTTAGGCTTCTGAAATCCAAGTAGCAACATAAACAAACTTCCCCAGACTTGGGACCTACAGAACTAGGAGGTAATGATGAGTGTTGTCTTGTTGCTAAATTTGTAGTAATTTGTTACTTAGAATAGAAATCTAAAAAACCGATTTATCTTTTACCACTTTCCTTTCCTTCCCCTATTTAAGACACTGGCCTCCCAGCTCTTCCTTGACAACACCAAACATACTTCTACTTTAGTGCCCCTATACTGGTTTATTCTGATGACTAGAATTATCTTTCTTTAGCCATATGCATGGTTAGTTTCCTTACCTCACCAGTCTTTTCTCAAATACCATCTCAATGAAACCTACCCAGCTTCATTCTTGCCATAACTTATCCCTCTCACACTGTTCTATCATTTTCTCCAAAGCATTTATTACCTTATAAAATAAAAACAAACTTATTCATTGTATTTATTGTTTACTAGTGTTCTACTTACATTAGAATATAAATCCATAGAGACAGGTTTTTGTTTTGGTTACTAACTTTCTGAGCACCCGGAAGAATAGATGTTTACAAGCACCTCTATCTTAATACAAAAGACTGTAATGTGTTATTTATAGACTAAACTATGACATGAAACTTACACACACACTTATCATAAGACTAAAGATACGTTTACTACACTGCTTTATACAGGGAATGAGATGTCAAATAAGATTCTTTATCCAGTCATTGGATAAAGACTCTTTTCATCCGTGCATCATTAAAATCTGGAAAACAGAAGAGGAACTTTCATGATTAGAACTGATTTATTTGGGAAAGAAGGGAAGGTGATCAAAATACCTTGTTCAAAATTAAGGCTTACAGACTACCTTTTTAAAAACTACTTGTATAAAAATTAAACTGATGCCTTCTACGATCTCTTACCATTCTATATTCCACAATTTCCTGTACTCTACATAAATTCAATGAACTACTGAATCAAGATTTGAGCTCACATCATTTTTGCTGATAACTTATCAACATTCTGAAGACCCCCAAATACGCAATTTCAGCCCTAAGTACTAGATTTCTGGTACAACTAGAAGTTGCCAATGGCTTTCAAACAGCTCCACGTGGATATCTCTCCTCTACCAGGAGTGGAGCATGTCAGAATCATACTCATCCTCATAGATGATTTCACTGGATTACATGTCCCTCTTCATTTGCCAGTTACTTAGATAGTCTTCCTCTATACCTCTTCAAACATAGGTTACTTGATCAACTAATTTTCCTGCTTCTCATAGCTACACTTCCTTTCCAACAATCCTATCTAGGGTCATTTGTTGATCTTATTAAATGATTTAAATATTATTGGCACTTCAAAGTCTTCCCATGAATTCTCACTGTCTAAACTTTAATAATAGAACATGCAAAAAAAAAGTCTAGCATGTAAAATCTTTCATTATTTGGCCAGTTCAGTCTCTTGTCCCCAAAAATCTCTCCTTTTGCTTACAAAATTCCTGCCAATAACACTGCAATACTCAATACAAAACCAGATGGGAGATAAGGAATGAACCTTCCCTTCTCTCCCAAATAACTCAGTTCCAGTCACTAAAGTTCCTCTTCTGATTTCCACATTTTAATAATATATGAATGAAAAGAGCTATCCAATCTATTTTTATACCAATGACTGTCTTATTTGACATCTCATTCCCTGCATAAAGCAATGTAGTAAATATCTCTTTAGTCTTATTATGATTAAGTATGTAAGTTGCATGTCATAGCTACGACTATAAATAACACATGAAATGACTGAAGGTGGTGACCAAAAAGTGTAACTAGGAGTTATAAAATAAACGCTAGTATGGAATGTGCAATGTGGTTACTATAGTTTTAATACTGTATTGTATATTTGAAAGTTAAGAGAATAGATCATAAAATTAAAAGTTTTCTTCACAAGAAAAAAATGTGCAAACTTTGTGATGGATGTTAACTATACTCATGGTGATCATTTCACAACATATAAAAATATAAAATCATGTTGTAGACTTGAAAGTTACATTAAACCATACATTAATTTTATCAAATTTAAAATTACAGAAACATATGTTTTAAACAGAGGAAAGGTGGAAGTAAGACAAGTTTAAGAAAATGTTTCATAATTAAGGAATGACTATGAATGGTATTTTGGCATTTACTGCTGTAAAGAATTCAGACATCAGTCCTGATATTAGCATTTTTCTTGATGCACAAATGTATCTTACTTTGGGAAGCCATTTTCACAGGTAGTAAATTGTTGCATGAAGCATTGTAGTAAATGTATCTTTAGTCTTGTTATGATAAAGTTTGTTAAGTAGCATGTCATAGCTTAGACTATAAATAACTCATGAAATGAATGTAGGTGGCAACATAATGTAAAAGTAAAGGAACTCAGCTAGTGAGCTATGTTCTCCACTTTTTTCTGTAGGGAACCCCGCAAGGTGGTCTTGCATAAAGGCTCAACTGGTCTGGGCTTCAACATTGTCGGCGGAGAGGACGGAGAAGGCATTTTTGTATCCTTCATTCTGGCTGGTGGACCAGCAGACCTTAGTGGAGAGCTCCAGAGGGGAGACCAGATCCTATCTGTGAGTATTCCATCATTGTTAATTACAACTCTAGAAACATTTCAATTACAAAGGAAAAATGGAGAGAACATTAGGACTTCAGATGTGTGTGTTTTACAGTTTAAGCGATGTTCAGGTACTTGATACTTATTACTTCCCTCAACTAAAGGTTAAGATAACAGTGTTTTCATTTAAATATTTTCAGACATACTTGCACCCAGTTGAACATTGACAAACATGATGTTTTAGGATGTATCACCTTTTTAAAAAAAAATACAAAAAGATTTATTTATGCATACAGAACTGGGGTACAAGTCAGAGCTGCAGGGGTGGTGAGAGGATTCACCAGAGATAGAGTGGGGTGCAGAACAGCTAAATTGACAAAGTACACTGCTGAGGGGAACAGCAGGCAGGACAGGAGAGCTCTGCTGTGCCATGTGGGTCACCTCCCTGGCCGGGGATCAAATTCATGAAGTGGCTGAGGCTAGTTTTGTAGTGGTGTGCTTTAACCCATTGCGCCACCTGGGAGGGTCCTGTATCACCTTTTTAACACAGATATTTTTCCAAAGCCATGACTTATAGTCTAAAAGCTACACCTTCATAGTAATGAAGTAGTTGTAGAGGATGATGTAAGAAAATTCATAAACCATGCAGTTCTCAGTTTGACAATATTGGTAAATGGTAACAGCAGCAAAATGTGCCTATATGTAAAATCTAGCAACAAAAACTTTTTGAGGATTTTTAAAAGACATTTCCTCAAGCTGATATTTAGTTCTCACAATCACCCTGAAGGATATGACCCCATGTCAAATAAAGAGAGTACGCTTCAAGGAGGTTTAGTAATTTGGCAAAGTTTATCTTTGGATCTCAGTTGGAGCTGAGATTCAAATATTTAAGGTTAATATCACACCAACTCTCTCTCTTGTCTCCCTCCCCTTTTTTTTTTCCTTCTTTCACTTCCATCTACCTTTTTTTTGTTGTTGTTCCATTCACTAATTTATTTTATTCAAATATTCATTGGCAGCTTCATTGCACTATATCACTCTGACCCCTGTTATAAATTTTATGATAGGCAGTTAAATCCACCATGAATATCCAAGCCTATATAACATTTTGGTAAACATGCAAATAATAATGGGAAATTACAAAAGGAGTCCGGTTCTTCTGGCTGAGGTTGTAGACCATAACTCAGTGAAGCACTTTAGTTTGTGGCTTTCTTACTCACTTAGAAAAATGTGGCTAGGTAGAATTTCCAAATGACCTCTATTTCTTAGTCATAAGGACAAAGTTGGTGCACACTCATATGCATGATCTACCTATATATCATACATGCCTGATTGACCAGGGGTCTACGTGCATTGCCCTGCCTGTGTGTGCCTTGGTTCTGTCAAACACGCAGGCTTCTGACCACTCATCAGCTGGCAGGTGTAAGGAGGACTGGGTAAAGGAGAAATAAATAAGGCCCCATGCCAGAACCTTCTGTTACGCTACAAGAGCTGAAATTCACTCCCCCTATGCCCCAACTACTTTTCCTATACTTAAATGACACATACAATACAACTAATATGGCTTTTCTCTGGACCTGTGTATGTGGGGTTTGGAAGAAGCACTCCTGAACGACTGTCCTCAGGGGCCTGGGTCACGAGGCAAGCCTGGAAACCATGCTTCTTGTTGTGTGGGCATGGTCTGGGGGAGTCAAGGTCGTCCAGCTCAGAGATTGCATCGAGTACACCTTAATTACAGTCTTTTCGTGAATAAAATTCACAGAACATAACATCAATCTTTAAAGTTCCAAGCTCCCACTTTTTTGTACATTTGTAAGGATAGTTAGGTGGTAAAAATATCTACTTTCTGCAGCTGAGAGAGGAAAGGAGGCAAGTCTCCTTTTTAACTTAATACAATTTATTTAACCTGTGGCTAGGTAATAGCTAGTTTCAAACTTCAGTGTTTGAAAGATTATTGAGAGTAAAGGACATAAGGCCTTAAGAAGTTCAAACATTCCAAGATGGAAAGAAAAATGTCAGAATTGAGTTATTAACAATGAAATATGGAAAACAAAATGTATATTGAGCAAGATATATATTACTGGGAAACAGAAGAACGGGATTACATAGCAATTAGGAACTAAATAAGCATTCAGTATACATTACTGTGTTATGTAAAATTAATGTGAAATACAGGTTATGCTTGTAGCAATGCCATAAATTCAGGGGAGAGAATTAGAACCCTCAGGGAAGAGGGCTAGAACTTAGCTCTCAATTGGTATTCTTAAAGAAGAGAACTTTCAAATTAGGAACAGGTGTCCATTTTTATTTCCAGAATTACTTTCCTGCATAGACTACCAACTCTCCCTAGTAATTTATTTAGCAAAACATTACTGCGTGCCAGTTTTGTATTAGGACTTCAAATCTCAAAAATGAATGAGATAAGTAGCCTCAGAATGTTCACAACCTAAAAAACTGATGTATCAAGTGATAAATTGTGTGTGAATGCAGTTATATTATTGATAAGGGTATGGTACAGATATACAGGTGGCATGCTACGGGAAGAGAAGACACAAGCCTCTCAGAGCAGAGCCTGTCATCGTGTAAGTACCCCATCATTGCTTGCTGTTAGTGCTAACCCCAGAACGTGTCTGATTTTTTTTAAAGATTTTATTTTATTTGTGCATATAGAACTGGGGTACAGGCCAGAGGTACAGGGGCAGTGAGAGGATTCACCAGAGACAGAGCGGGGAGCAGAACAGGCAGATCCTCGAAGTACACTGCTGAGGGAAGCAGCGGGCAGGTCAGGAGAGGTCTGCCATGCCACGTGGTCACCTCCGGGGCAGGCGGGATTGAACTCATGCTAACATGGCTTTAGCTTCTTAGTGCTGTGCTTTAACCTGCTGTGCAACCAGGGAGGGCCGTGTCTGGTATTTTTTAAAGAGTGTGTCTATTTACCATGTCTAACAAAAGGTCGTTTTTAGAAGTTTTGCGTGATTCCTTCTTTGTGACAGCTTGGTTCAGGTAAGCATTTCCCAAAATGTGTTTTACAAGACAATGGAACACACAGGTACTAGGTGGCTACTGAGTGACAAGGTTTCCTGGTCCTAGGTTTCTTCACTCAAGAACTTCTCAGAAATATTTGTTGACCAGTGGGTACTAGGAATCTTTTTAGAAGAAGATAAAATATATGATTCTCGCAAACACATTTTGCCACCGAATACTTAACATGAAGAGCACTTCACAAGACACCACTAATGCTAAATACTTGAGCAGATATATAACTGACTGTTTTCCTACAAGGAACTCATGTAAATTTGCCTACAAAGAAAAAGCAATTTCCCCTCCTACTAGGTTTTAAAGTTTTGGACACCATCTAGTGGCCGTGCATTGTTTAAACACACTGTAAAGAGCCTACAGAAGGAAGTTACCACACTGCACTGTGGGAATTTACCCTCCTCTCTCCAGAAATGTCAAGACTACATAAGTAAAACAGTTAAGATGCTGAAAGATAAAGAAATTGTCCCCAGAGGCTCCATTCCATACACGTTGTGACTGATCTTCTCTCTCTTGATGTATTCTATTTCTCAGCGATTTGTTGTAGAAAGTTTTATCCAATAATTGAACCATCTTCAGGTACTCACAGAGGAGAATTTAGGGCATTCAGCATGCAATCACAGTAACTAGTGCAGTAGAATCCTTGGGCATTCTTCCTGCAGAGGGAGAAATAGAAATGCTTCTGTTATTTGTTTAGATGTTTTGTTATGAAAAAATGTAAAGCATAGCACATAAAAGCAATACCCCTACAAGGAAATTGTATCTTGTTTCACCAAGCAATTACAGTTTGTTTATTCCACAAGGGTATAAAGATCACCCAACTGACCCTGCTGTCTCCAAAGCTCCCTCTTGCCAACCTTTAAGTATCTAACTAACTCCCTTTCAGAATGCATGGCTGGAAATAACTGTTGCCTGAAGAAAAATGCTACTGTCATTGAAATGAAGCTACAATAGGTTAATTGTGAATTTTAAATTGAAACTGAAATTACATTGTAGAATTAGAAAGAGTAAAAATGAGTCACAGATCACCAGGTTTTTTGTTAACTCTCAGCTGTTTCTATCTGTAGAGCCAGGTAGAAGGACAGGACTCTACTTGTCTGATTCTTATTGTCCAGATGTTCAAGCCCTGTGTACATTATTCACCATCCTGGGACACTGGTAGCGTCACCTTGATATTGTTATGTGAAATGACAGTTCAAAACCCTTTATGTGTAATCTTTATGCTCACAGGATAAAGAAGCTTTAAATTATTTTTTTTCTGCCCTGAAGATCTAGATTTTCTTAACTGCTGATAGACTCCATCCCTTCCATTGATGTCAGCTGGCTTCTGTCCTTTTTTTTTTGGATCTAGCCCCTGCCCCACCGAGGAACCTCACTTTCATAGTTTTATGTGTTTGAGGGCTTCTACTCAAGAGGCTGTTTCTTGGTATTGAGAAACCAGCACTCTGGTGATTCCAGAGAGACTGGTCAAGGCTGTACAAATTCATCACTTGTTTCCAAGGACACGAGATCTTAAACTGGTTTTACAAGGTTCTCGCACCTAAGTGGCACCTTTAGTTTGTCTCCCCTCAGTGTCAACACTTGAGTGGCCCAACCTCCAGTAGAGCCTCCACCCTGCCCTCTTCCAAGATAGCAGTCCCAGTTCAGTCATCCATGACCAGGAGAGCATTGCCTCTGGTCAAGCTCTACCTTCTCTTCTGACAGATCTCTAAAAGAATTCTAGAAGATGCAGAGACAAACTCTAGCCTAAACAGTGGTATATGTTTCCAAACTAGAATTATTCAACCTCTGCGTTTGGATGAAAGGTGATTTCATAGCTTCCCCTAGAAAATGAGCCCTGTCCTTCCATACAGCTTTGTGGCCAAGAGCGCATATTATAATTTCCCTCAAAGAAGCAGTATTTGCTGGAGAGAACACTGAACAACTTTAACTTACAAGGCATTAAACAGCACACATTTTCTGTGAGAACCTACCCTTCTC